ATATCTATATCTATATCTATCTATGATGCCACGGATGAGAGGGAGATGTATATATATATATATATGTACACACGCATACGGATTGTAGTCTCCCCCCCTCCCCCCTCAGAACGGCAACACCCAACCTCCCAAATTCTAAACCACTGCAGGATTGGTGCAAGCGTCCAGGTCTTTTCCAGACTTGTCGGGATGGATATCTAACATCCTAAGTTTCCCTTGAGCAAATTGGTTCCGAATGGCTTCCTAAACCGTAAACCCCAAACCCTAACCCCAAACCCTAAACCGGCTGAGGAAGCGAATGCTTCAGGGAGGGGCTCTTCCTCGGAGGATGATCGGGCAGAAGACATGGGATAAGGTTGCTTGGTCGAAGTTCACCGCGGGAGGGTGAAGTGAACATGTGGAGATCACTATGGACCCGCAGGTGTTTGCTGACTCGTCGAGTCCGTTCGAACCTGCCAGAATTGTGCGAGCACGCTAGTAGGGATTGGAATGACATTTTTGCACGAGTGCCACACTTGGCTTTCACGGAGCACGCGGGAAGATGCAAAAGCGTATCAAAACCTTTAAAAGGATCGAACGCACCAACACCTTCGAGACGTGTGTCAGGCTTTGGAAGATCAGCTGCAGGACATTGTGGCAGCACAGCTTTCTCGGGTGCTCGCTGCTGATATGTTGATGCTGCCAGAGTAGCATGGACCCTCGGCAGCACATCATCCGGTTGTGTTCAAAGCAAGGGCCACAGGGTTTAGGGTTTAGGGTTTAGGGTTTAGGCGCCTTATGCACCTTCGGAATCAGATGGCGTGCTCCTTGAGCACATGATGACATGCACAGTCTCGCAAAGTGCCTGCTTGCACACAAACCCTTGGGAGCAACTGGAGCCTTTGACCCATGTGGGCCAGCGTTTAAAGACGGTGGCGCGGCAGACTGCGTAGCAGTACTTTAACCTTCAGATCCCACCAGCACCTCAGGTGGATGTTCTGCGGAGGGGTTCCTTCTGGCTCTTCTCTCCAGGCTGGAAGCTCAGGATATCAGGTTTACAATAGCCATTCAGGCCGTGGGGTTCAGGGTTTGCAATCTCGGATTGTCGGGTTCCAGAAGGCATGCGGCATGAAGAACGTTACTAAAGAATGCCAGCGTACGGTATGTACGGTTACTCCGACGTTCTACGCCAGAGGGAAAAGCATTTGTGAACTATGCTTGATTGTGAACCGCAGTCATGAGATGCATGCGTGAACTGTTGTATATATCTGCTGCCATAGGGCCCTTGAGTCATACAGAGTAGCTGTGCAGTTTGGCGAGAAAAG